GACTAGACGCTGAGCAGCAAAGTGACCGGACGCTGGGTTCTAGAGTCCGGTCAACATCAGTAAGGTTCCAGAAGGCAGTTTTCGTGACCGGACACGTCTAGTCAGTGCTGACCGGACGCTGGCCAGTGTCCGGTCACAACTTAACTGCTTGGTGGCGGGGAGAACTGACCGGAGCGACCGGTCACCCCGCAGTGGCACATAACGGTTCGTTTTGAATGAGGGTGTATAAATACTTCCTCTATTCACTTGAGGGATTACTTTTGCTCATTCCAACAGCTGAGAAACACCCTTTAGAGTGCCAAGAAGAGTAAGGTCCTAGTGAGGTGATTGAGATTTGAGAATCCAAGAGAAAGATCTCATTAGTGAAAGCAATAGTAGCAAAGTGTGCATCCATCCTTCTCATTAGGCTTGTCGTAGTCAAGTGAGAGTTCGTGCTTGTTACTCTTGGTGATCACCATCACCTAGACGGCTTGGTGGTGATTGGGAGCTTGGTGATCATCCGACAGAGCTTGTGGATGACCCAACTCAAGTTGTGAGCGATTGTGGGTGATTCACTGTGACGGAGTGTCAAAGAATCAACCCGTAGAGAGCACTTGATCCTTGCGCGGATCAAGGAGGAGCTACACCCTTGCGCGGGTGCTCCAACGAGGACTAGTGGGGAGTGGCGACTATCCGATACCTCAGCAAAACATCGCCGCGTTCATCCTTCTCTCTTTACTTTGAGCATTTACTTTGAGCAATTCAATTCTTGTCTTTACATTCATTGAATTTCCATGCTAGAGTAGGATTGGAACATAGGTTGCTAACTTTTGTGCGGTAGAACAATAGAAACACTTTCTAGGTACAAGGGGTGAAGTGGGCTAACCATAGGGTTTAATTATTGCAAAGAATTTTAGAATTAGCCTAATTCACCCCCCCCCCCTCTTGGGCATGTTGATCCTTGCATAAGTGTTTCAGAGGTATATTGCAAATGTTTCAGGGATATGTGGTAAGCATCTATTCAAAATGTTTTATCTATTTCAGATATATGTTACAAGTGTTTTATCTAGATGTTGCATATGTTTCAGTGGCTATACACATATGTTGCAAGTGTTTTATTTGGATATTGCATATGTTGCAGCGGCTATACACATATGTTGCTAGCGTATGTTACAAATGTTTAACCTGTTTCAGACATATGTTGCAGAAGTGCTTCGTGTTGCAACATTAGCAGGCGCATGAAGCGGACGCATGTGGAGGCGGTCCCCTCGATGCTTGCAGCGTGAAGCAAAAAACAGCATGGGTCGTCCCTACGCATGCAAGAATAGGCATGGGCGCACAAGATGCGTCACGACAAAGAACATGTGGCAGGCAGTGCTCAGAAGAAGCATGGGCAGGAGTGACATGCTTGAGCGAGGCTAAGCAACATGCGAGGCGGGCGCAAGGCAGGCGCGGGCGTCTGGACGTCCGGGCTCTAGCCATACCTTTATTTTTATGTCATGTGCCCACCCAAAGTGTGGGGAAGAAGAGTAGGGGAGGTGGGGACCTGATTTTGGCCGGCGTGGATGGGGGAGGCGTTGGCTGACGAGCAGAGTTGAGCTCAGCAATGGTGGGGGGGAGTGCATGCATGGGCTAAAGAGAGCAGTGGCTTCCATGTGGGGATGAGAGGTTCTTTTGGCATTTTTGGATTTGAATTTACTCGCGTGCATGAGAGGGTCTTTTGGCATTTTAGGGTTTGAATTTACTCCTTGTCTAATCCTTATTTATTATCACACTCAAATATAAGGACTTTCTTGGTTTTTTTTAATTACAGTACAACATAGACGTTTCCACGCTCACCTTTATGAAACCACACACATACTACCTATGTGAGCTCTTTTAAAACATTGAGACGAGTAAAGAATAGTGCGGTTAAATCATAGAATAATTATAGAAAAATATGAATACCTACATCATGTGGAGGACTTAAACTAGAAGGGAGCCATAAGGTATATATATAACCGGCTGGGCAATGCTATACTTAGTTCATGATCTCTGAGAGTTTTGTTTTGCCCAAAAATATAAGTTACCAATTCACCTCCTGACATGTGGTTGTAATTCCACATCTGGATCTGGTCTTGTAGTAATAAAAGCATTGGTTAGCTTATATCCGCCCTATATGAGTGTGTAGGTTCAGGAGCGAACGACGCTGCTTGCATTGCCCGGTAGAGGACGAAATGAAATTTTATTGGCGGTGCTCATTCGTGGTGGAGTCATGCACTCATGCATGGCTACTTTTCTGATAGATTTTTACCACTTGCTTTTTTCAGAGCCCTGAAGACTACTTGATCGTTTGTGACTCCTCTGCTAAACAAACTGTTGCTGCCTTGCTGGTGTTCACTTGTATGTAATCTTGTGATGTGCCTTGCCCATAGACTAGACAGAATGGGCTGGGATGACCGCAACCGAGAAAGCTTTGGGCCCATTGCACCACCAGTAGTCTGTCTGCTCAGCCCTGATAGATCTGCATGGCCCAGACAGCTGCAGTGTGCACCAAAGGCCGCGAGCGAGCGTGTGGGTAAGCCCATAGGCCCAATCAGCCCATGCTGCAGCAGTCACCTGACTGTTTTCTGAATCCTGTTACTACTTCCAAATCAGCATCTCTCCTTCGTTTCCATGTCGTTGGCATCGTTGCCTCACTTTATTAGCAAACAAAGAGACGAGAGCATTTTAGCCATTGCATGGGCAATTGGCGGCACTGGGCAGTGGCCATGGGCCAAGGGCCATGGCGCCATCTGCCAAGGTTCAAAACAAGGCTTGCAAAATCTCGTGTTTTTCTTTCACAACACATCAGCATAAGCCAAATTTTAGCGAAACGCGTCTCTTTGTTTGCTACTGTCTCCAAAATCTCAAATTAGGCCCACGCAGGTGCAGGTGCAGCCCGCCAACGCCAGGCCTCGGCTGCCGCTGTCCGACGTCACCGCTTTTCTTCCGATCCTGGCCCAGTGGACGACGACCGCGGCAGTGGAACCCGTCCATCATGCGTAGCCCTGGGCATTCGGTATTACCGAACCGATTCCTCGGTTCTTCGGTACTTCGGTTACCAGGGACATCGGTACCAATCGGTTCTTCCGAAGAATCGGTACCGACCGAATTCGGTTTCGGTTAGTTCGGTTCGGTTCCGACCGAACTAACCGAACCAAGGCCTTGAGCGGCGTGAGGACTCTCTGCGCAGCCGCGGTGCCAGCACAACGCAGCAGAGCAGCGGCAAGCAGCCGACGCCCACGAGAGGGAGGAGGGCGGGCGGGCCGGCCCGCCGGGTGGGGATGCTTGATCCGCGGGAGAGGAGAGGGAGGGCGGCACCGGCTGGCCGGGAGAGGAAGGGGAGGGGCGGCGCGGGGAGATCTAGGGGAGGGGCGGCGGTGGGGAGAGGGATGGGAGGTAGGCGGTGCCGGCCGGGAGGAAGGGAGGTAGGCGGCGACGGCGCCGAGAGAGGAAGAGGAGGGGGCGGCGTGGGGAGATCTAGGGATGACCGGGGGAGAAGGAGTCGGGGCCTCGGGGGCGGCGGGGAGAGGAGCCGGAGAGGGATGGGAGGGGGCGCTGGGGCGGCGCTGGCCGGGAGGGAGGGAGCAATGAGGGTGAGGAGCCGGGACGGGATGCGGCGTAGGTGGGGTGGAGAACTGGACGGGAACGGGAGGCGGCTCGGGGAACTCTCAAGGAGAAGCAGACGAGGCTCGGTTCCTCGGTTTTTTCGGTTAACCGAGGGGAGGAACCGAATTAACCGAACAAAGTTTGGTTCCTACGAAATGAGAACCGAACAGGGAACCGAGATTTCGGTTCTCGGTAAATTCGGTTCGGTTCTCGGTTCTCGGTAAAATTTGCCCAGGGCTAATCGTGCGCACGAGGCGGCCGACCGGCCTCGTGTCGCGGCGCATGTAGCACCACCACCAAGCCTTGAGCCAGCCAGACGAATTGTCCCGGGTTCCTCTCATCCTCCGGCGACCGACGTGAAGTGGACATGCACGGCTCGCGGGGCAATGCGCTGTGGCATGCTCTCTGGTCTGAGGAGACAACAGGTCTCCACGGAAAGGCCACCGTGGTCACGGGCTCTCTGTCCTCCTCATCGCCAACGCCATTGCGGCATTGCTGGTTGCCCGCACTGACCAGTGTGAACTCAGGAACACCCACCATCCGTGTTCCGGCCCGTGACATCTGCCCAAGTCAAAAGGAAAAAAAACACCCTCCTATGTGTCTGACTCTGATCCTATCTGGAACTAGCTCGGGACATCTCCCACAACTTGTGCAGTGGACTCCGCTGCGCGCACGACGTCGTGCCCGGCGTTCCGGAGACCGGAGGGCGGCCGGCGGCGCACACAGCCTCGAGCCAAGCAGACGATCGAACGCCTGCATTCCCTCGCGTCCACCAACGGAACCAACCGTCCCGAGCTCGCCCTCGCCTTGCCTCGCCCAGGCCGCACCTGCCGACTGGCCTTCGCGGAGACGGATCGCGGCGCGCTGCCCGCGCCGACGCGCTACGGGGACAGGCAATGCGAGCACGACTGCGCGATTGCTGGCAATGATTGGGGCCTTCTTTGCGGTAGTGTCCTCGCATGTGCGACAGAGGAGCAGGTGGTCAGGGGTGAGTGGAGCCCCCAGGCACCCACCAAACGCCGGCGGCCGTGCCGTGCCGTCCATCTTTGACCACCTGACCTCCGCCGCCACCGCTGCCATTCCCGTGCCTCTAGTTCTCCATCTTGTTTCGCATCAATCACGAGTTAAGTTCATGATGGCTAATGAGAATCCAGAAGAATCACATGTACTACTAGTATGCAATCCTTTCTGCTGTGTTGCTGCTAATCCCTACTGAAAATCTGAAATATTTACAAAACCTACGAACCTAAACCAAAACCTTGGAACAAAAGGGTCCATTGTGTTCTAATAAGTACACGCACAAAGAAACATGATGACCAAAGTTACAGCAGGCAAGAAGGAAAAAAATAAAAAATGCATGCGAGCCTAAAACTGTGGCCGTGCGTGCGCGGTCACTGCCGCCCGAAGAGCGCCCCGAGGAAGCCGAGGCAGCCGAGGAAGAGGCGGCAGAGCGGGCCGCCGCGCCTCCGCTGCAGCATCCGCCTCCGGGCCTCCTCCCGCGCCGACGGCGTCAGCTGGAGGTACGCGTACGCCGCGTGCTTCACCAGCGGGTGCCGGATCATGTGCACGTCCCCGGCCACCGCGGCGCCGGCGCCGGCGGGTGCCTCGTCTGGGGAGTTCGCCTTGGCGGCGGGCGACGACATGATGTCGCGCAGGCTGGTGTACCGCGCCTGCCGCCGCCGCCGCTGCCGGCGGCGGCGTTCAGGCCGTTGGTGGGGATCTCGATCTCAGGCGGCGTCCACCGGCCCCGCATCCCGCCGCCGGACCCGGAGGCGCGCTTCGCGGGGCGCCTGAGCAGGACCTCCAAGTCCCCGGCGGCGCCGGCGGCGGTGCTGCCGGCGCCGGCGCCGGCCAGCGGCGACCGGAGCCTCTGCCTCTGCCGTTGCCGCAGCGGGGACTCCACCACCGCCGTTACCATGGCGCGATCAGGGCGGCGGGATCGGACCGGAGGCGCGCGCGTGGAGCCGTGGAGGAGCTGGACGTGGTGGAGAAGCGAAGACTCGTTATTGGAGAGGGAGAAAGAGTCCATGATCATGAATGAAAGATCTATTAATTAATGAATGAATGAATATAAACGTGTAGTTTGAATGATGCGAAATATTCGCTGGGGGGCCACGCGGCAGTGGGCGGAGGCGATTTTTCGGAGAAGAAAAAATAGAGCGAAACCCGGGTGGGGTGGATGACGGGAACCGGAGTTTTTTTTTCCGACGGGGCGCTCGAGGTGGCGCTGTTCGTTTGACCGGTTTGCCTTATAAGCATGGTTGAAAGTATCGTCGGCCGGTTCAGTGATAAAGAAAAATATTATTCGTTGGCTGATAAGTCATGGCTTATAAGTCAAATACGACCAAGCGAATAGATTGGTGAGCGACGCTGCTAGGTGGTGGGACCGCAGTAATTGTTGGGTCCACTGTCCACGTCATCCTGGTCTCGGCCATGGATTTAGCTACTCCCTCCGTCTAAAAAAAACATGTAATTCTAGTTTTCAAATCTTGTCTCGAAAATATGTAATTGTAAGTTAAAGATCACCTTTTTCAATGGAACCCACTAATTAAAAATATTCCTGCATGACTAAAAACTACCATCCATAAGAAGAATATTACATGAGAAGAACCTTCCAGCATAACCACTTCTAGAATGACAGAGGAGGAGTAAATACATAATTTTACACCTACACTAATTTTACCTTGAAAAACGAGATTTATATCATTTCTGGGACGTATGCAGTATCACTACTAGATAACAGACTTTAGAACGATGTCCTAATTTGGCATTAGCCTCGGCATTTTTTTTTGCCTCCGGGACTAAAGGTTCTGCCCAACGGTCGTCCGCGGGGCAGGGATCTTTAGTCCCGGCTAGTATTACCCGGTTTGGGTGATGCCTCGGGAATAAAGATTAATTTTTAGTTCCGGTTTGGCTCCCTAACCGGGACTAATTATCCCGGTCTATAGACCAGCTCATTTCTTCCTCCCCGAGCCCGAGCCATTCCATTCAAACTCACTGTCTCTGTTCTTCAGCTTGCTGTTGTTCTTGCTCTCTCCCCCTCCATTGGTGTTGCTCTTCGATTTTGGAGGTAACAAACTTAATCCTCTTATGTTTTATCAATAGCTTATCTCATTTTGCAATGTAGATGCATGTGTAACTTTATATGTTGGACTTTATTATGATTTTATGTCATTTTTAGCTCAAAATCACACGATGATTTGCATATATGTTTGGATAAACAAAAGTTAAATTTGGCCTGGAAGTTGATACCTGGAAGACTTATAAATTTGGCAAAAGTCTGTACAACCCTGCGGCTCTGAATGAATTGGGTACGCAAATGTACTTGCTCAACAAGTGGTACATGCAGGCGTGTGGCAGGGGTGAGGAGTGGATCTTTGTCAGATTTAGAGACCATCATTACTTCCGTGGCGATGACATCTTACATATTAGTTTCGAAGAATTGCATCAACTATACCACATGGACACTCTGGACAAATCAATCATTAACTCCTTTTGTTTGTAAGTGATTCTTATTTTTATTTAATAAACTCACTTCCATGCGTATGTGTATATAATTATCCTCACATGTAACTTATATTTATATATAGATTCCAGGTGTCAGAGCTCCAAAGAATACAAGACACCAGTGTTGGCTTCATTGATCCTTATATCGTATTCAAAACCGGTATTATTGCCAAGGAGCGGTGGGTATCTGAAGCACAGAAGAATATCATGAGGTTCTTTGTGAAGCAGCACGACAAGACAACAATACTTTTCCGGTACAGCTTTGAGTAAGTGTTAATAATAATGTAGTCTACACATTTTATGTAATATCAATACAACTTATATGCATGTATGTGTGTGTATAAACCAATGCAGGTTTCACTGGATAGTCATTGTCATTGAGTTAAACTCAAGTCGGTTAGTAATCTTAGACTCGTTGAGAAAAGAGCGGGCACTATATCAAGATATGATAGACATTATCCAGGGGTAATTTTGATCTCTCGCGCACAACTATTATTGAATAGACTTTGCCATAATTTATTAACGATCGTACATTATTGGTTGCACAGGGTTTGGAAAGAGTTTATTTAGCAACACCGCAAGGATTACAAGGCACCACTTAATGTAGTTGAAATACCAGTAAGTTGTACTATATATACTTCCCCACGTGTTTAATTACTATATCGTACTTCAATTTACGTGTGAGATGATGAGAATAATCTTCTTCTCGTACAGTGGTGTTTGCGGCAGGAACCAGGTAATAACTTGTGTGGATACTACGTTTGTGAATTTATCACTGCGCACATAAGAAGAACTCCTAGAGATGTCCTCAAAGTACGTATATATCAATTTTTATTTATTTTTAAATGAATATATATATGTATTAATATTTTTCCTTTTATTTCAAATGCAAGACTGAATGGTTGAAACAAAGGGTCATACAAAAAGACCATCTAAAAGCAGTTCAAGAGTCAATAGCAGGATTTCTTATAGAAAAAGTGCTAAATCCCAATGGCGAGTTCTACTTTGATCCTAAGGAATAAATGATGTAAATTAAATGTTTATTGATATCGTTATTTTCGAGAATAAGATTATGAAAGTGTTGTATATATACATATATATCCATAATATATATAGTTTCATACTTTATTCGAATATAATAATGCTCGAGACGAGAATTAGATGTAATTATATGCTTGCGTGTATTTATATTAGCAGCGTAGAATACGTACATAAAAACATATTATATATTAAACAAATATGTGTAACTGAACTGAAAACAAATTAAAAAAAAGAAAAAGAAACGGAACCTTTAGTCCCGGTTAGGGTTACCAACCGGGACTAAAGGGTGCAGCCACGTTTGCTCGGCTGGAGGGCCTTTAGTCCCGGTTGGTAATATACCAACCGGGACTAAAGGTCCCTCTTTAATCCTGGCTCGATGACCCGAGACTGAAGGTTACACCTTTAGTCCCGGGATCGTTGTCCCGGTGCGGTAATCAGAACTAAAGGCCATTACCGCTCGGGACAACAAGGCCATCCTGTAGTAGTGTACCTGGTTTTCTTCATTCGGATCGCAAAGCTTTCCTCCCCTTTATTAATCCCTCGTTTTTTCGATTTTAATGATGATGATTATTCCCTCCTCTTTTCTTTTGGATTTCAATGGCGTCTTGTCTTTGTTGAGTGTAAATGGCGCGATGATGTGGAACACCACTTCTAGTAGGGATAAGGAAGCCGAGAGCTTTAGCTGATAGAGCGGCTCCGGATGTGGGCATAAATAAAAGATGTGCCTTTAAAATAAAGAGAGAGGGGTTAGTATAGTTTAACAAAAATTGAGAATTTAGATAAGTCACTAAAATCACAAATAACAATGGCCTAACACTTTTACCTACACCACGGAATTCTCTATGGCGTATATACACTAGTAGGCCAACATAAAAAACTCGATCCACGGTGGCTAGACAGCCCCGGGTATTCCGGCTTAAGAAAAAGATTTTCTCACGTAGATCGAGAAAACCTCCGAACCCCTACTCCACTCATACACAGTGGCACCGTAGCTCCGTGAGATAAGCTAGCCACAAACCTGTGCTTTGGATGTGGGGTAGACGAATTATCACTATAGCTGAATTGATTAGTTTTTTTATGGAATAGTTGAGTCTAGCATATTTTTGGTTAATTAATGTTTCTTTTTTGAACTTGGTTAATTAATGTTTTAGCAATAGCTGACAGATGACTTTCTATCAACATGTGCAGAGTTACTAGGCAACTTCAAGACATGTCATTGTAGCTTATTGGAGGTGGAGGCAGGGATAATGCGTGTGTGTGGCTGTGTGCATGCGTCTTCATAGAGGTGAATGAAAATGAATGTGTTTCCTAACTTTATAATTTATATATACAATATATATGTCCAAAAACGCATTATTGTTGTTGCTTTGAAGGAAAACTTTCTTGAAATGTTAGATCAAAATTCATTGTACATATCTTCAATGGGTAAACTTCAATGTTAATGGTTTAATCGATGTTCGATGGCGTCAGCTGTAGTTGCCAAACCCACATAATCTTTTCCGATTCACTCCTCACCAGCCTTCCAATTTTCTCCAAAACCATAGTAAAAATTCTCTAGGGAAAAATAAATCTGTGGGTAAAGTCAGAAAAAATCTTCATCGGAAAGAATAGCGATGTTTAACAGAATTAGAAAAAGAAAATGAGCCATTTCGTTTGATGTTCTCTCTGGTCACGTCACAAAAAAATCTTCGAATAGTCCTCTATCCTTGAGTTGTGTCTGTCGCTTTGGTAGTATATATATAGTGATAGTAAAATGGTTTGCTATAACTAAACGGTAATGCTATAATTATGGTGTCTGGACGCCAGACCTTATGTGACTTCACGTCGCCCATGTATTCACAAATATCTGATACTCCCACACGGCTTCAAAAAAAATCCCCCACTCCGCATGCTGTCAGCCGCAAGCCGCACACATGTTCTGCTCTCCTCCTCCGTGACTGCACCCCAGCCTTCATTCGTCGCCCGCTTCCTGCTCCTCCTCACCATGGCCCTTGCTGCCACGCGCCCGCTCTCCAAGCTCCCCTAAGCCCGTGGTGTTGTTTATATCCTCGGATGGCTTCCGCTTCGGGTACTAGTACAAGGTCCCTCTCCCGCA